CCATCTGGACAATGGCAGCCAGCGTGCTGGCTTACCCACTTCAACTATGATGCTAGCCAGCGTGCTGGCTTTGCCATCTCAACAATTGCATCACCACATGCTGCGCTGCAGACTGAACAATAACAGGTCAGCCACAGAAAATACACAGTCTGTTGGTGCAGGCGCTCTGAGGGTGACATGTGCTTCGCTCTAGATGCAGTTAAGAACCACTATGCTGTTCATTTTCTAATCGCCTCTCCTACAGAAACATGCAACAAAGTAGCACGAGGTTAAAAACCGAGCTGGAATGAACACAGAAAATGCTGAGGCAGCCACGCCAGAAGCGTCTCGAAGCAGTGACCTGTCAGAGGAAAGGCATCCATCGATATATATCTTCCGGGCAAAAACGTTTACTTCACTCCAGGACACAGCTTTTCTAGGATGTAGTTAACCAACCACTATGTTTGTCATTGAGCAATTGACTGTCTCAGAGAAAAACGCGACAAAGTAGCGTGAGGTGACACACAGCAGGCACTGTAGATGTTTTAGCGCACTCTCGCTGTTCGGCTCGCGACTAGTCTTTGTACACAGCAAGGATAGCGTTGTGCTTCCGCAGAACGACGTCCACACAGAATTTATCAGGAAGAAGTCACGGTATGAGACACACAGTTGGTTGGGTCTAGCGCGTCCGCCCGAAGCAGATCTGGATGGTGTAGGCATCTGAGAAGTTGCGGCTGTTGTTCCTCACCCAGTTGCGCCATCCACTGGACCACTGGACCACTCGCCAAAACTGCGATGTTTCTCCATGGGCAACCCAGTATCTGTTTGCTATGGACTGGTTTGGCCATCTTGCATGGATGAGCTCTGGCTGGTCGTCATGGTATGTCCTGCTTCCATAGGACCAACAGAGGCACACCTGTCTCTGGTCATCATGGGTGATGCTGAAGAAGTGATCCTCAACAATGCCAAGGTTCCCTGGCATGATGGCTGGGCAAAGAGGGAGACCTACGAGCTAGTGGGCTGTAAATTGGTAAATAGCACGCGCGTAGCTATAAGAAGGCGCGGTTTGCCTTGTAAAGGTTTATGTGGGAAATGAATATTGCAAAAGCTTGTGGGGCGCGTTCAAACTTCTTGCAAGTATATTCTTCATTGCTGTTGAGTTGATATTGTGGTAGTTGGCCCAAGTTGTATGGAGACTTCTGCAATGTCACTGTGAGCACCGAAAGGTGAGCCACGGAAAATGCACAGTCTGTTGGCACAGGCGCTCTGAGGGTGACATGTGCTTTGCTCTAGATGTAGTTAAGAACCACTATGCTGCTCATTTTCCAATCGCCTCTCCTACAGAAACATGCAACAAAGTAGCACGAGGTGACACATAGCAGGCACTGCGCATGTTTTCGTGTGCTCTGGCCGTTCAGCTCGCGACTAGCCCTTGTATATGGCAGAGACTCCCCGACACTATGTCTATATTTGTCGTGCTTCCGCAAAACGACGTCCACACAGGATTTGTAAGGAAGAATTCATGGTATGAGACATGCAGTTGGTTACCATGTGAACATCTAGGTGACACCCTGCGTCGGGGAGACTCTCACTGCGTTGTCCGCTCCGGAGACACGGCGCCAGTTCTCAGCTACTACCCACTCACCAGTTCTCATCTTCCCACT